GTTGTCTAGCAAATGAACGTAATGAGCTCCGTCGATCTAACTTAGCAGATCCCAGTGTCAGGTAACTAAAGTTGGAAGTCAGCTGATTAGTCACGGAAAATAAGCGGAATATATGATTGAGCACCCGAAGAGTTGCAATATCGGTACCGGTGTAAAAAAAGTATGGGCAACGGTTAAGTCGCTCTCAAACCCTGATAAGAAGGATGGTAGGACCTCAGTCAAATTTAACGACGAAAATGTGACTGATCCGAAGAGAGGTGACAGTTATTTTAACCGGCCGTTTATCGAGCATCCCGATAGCGACAGGACGGAGCGAAGAGTACTACGTCGTATAATATCTCTTCACTCCGAGGAGGTACCACCACAGTTTACAATGGTTGATGTTGCATGTGTCATCCGTAACGCTAAATCATCTTAAGCGTTGGACCTGGACGGAATATTCATGTATATGCTGAAATAGCTGGACAAGCCAGGAGTACCTGACCATAGTCCTAAATTTTTCGATAGCCACCCACGTCGTTCCCGAAGCCTGGACTGAAGCCAGGCAAGGATGCTAGAAATAGTGAATCTTACAGGCCGATTTCAGCATTAGGGAAAGCTATCTAGTTGCCAATCATCAACATGGGTTCCGTAAGCAACACAGCCGACGACAGCTTTGTACGCCATCTCCACACATATAAGTCGAGGACTTAACCAGTACCCACTGTGCCGTAGATCAGTGTTGGCAGCGCTTGACCTATCAACGGCATTTGGTACAGTCAACCTTGCCACACTGTTTGAGGGCATCGAGAACACTTCCCGGCCAAGTTTGAAAAGTTGAATAATCAACTATATGTGTTTACGCCAGCCATACCTGAAGTTCCGGAATAAGAAGTACAAACCCAGCAGAGTGAAGCAGGCAGTTCCCCAGTGTGGAGTGATATCTCCGAAACTGTTGAACCTCTACGTTTCCGGTATTCCACTCCCTCCAGACGGCATCATGATCGTTACGTATGCAGATGATTGCGATCATGGCATCGGGTCCTATAGTTTAGGACAGTATGTGTAATGTTGAACGCTTATCTCACCGAGTTAAGAGCTTTCTTTCACGCGAGGAATATGCAAATAGGGTCTGCGGAGATGAAAATTTCTTTGAATGTTCAGGTCGAGGTGCAATTCCGACCAATTCCGACCATTAACTAAGCCAAATTTACTAACCCAAACAGGATCAAAGTCCTCAAGTTGCTTGTCGGCAAAACTTGGGCGCAAATAAGGAAACCTTGTTGACCTCTTACAAAGCGATATGTCGGTCTGTGGCTAGCTATGCGGTACCAGAAGGCGAATACTAGTGTTAAGCAATGGAGAACTATTTACACCTGTCTCCCTGATAAATGCAACAAGGTGTCTCCCTATGATACCAGTGGACGATCTTCACGAGAAGTCGACAATTCTTCCATTATAGCAATATGCTTTCGGTGCAGTACCTGCTCCCCCACCCAATCATGTTAGGAAGGATCTGTATGATCTAGAGAGAGAGGTCCAACGTTATAAAATGGAGCCTCTAAATCAAGTTGCCCATCGAACAGGTCTGAATATCATTTATAATGATACAGTTGCCGCAGTGCTGAACGAATGCAGAGTGAATGCCGTCCTCAGAACTCATCCCCCACCCATCGCAGCTGCCCAGATAAACCAAATAGTTTGGGCCCAATTACTTTCTGGATAATGTAGTCGTCTCAATTTGTATTGGACATGGATTGATGACCAGATGCAGAATGTATGCCCAGCCTTTGGTACGGGCCCTCATACCACACTGCACTTATTTAATTGCCCTGTAAATCTACCCGACTTACTCCAGAGGATCTATGGTTGCAGCCAATGGAAGTAGCTATATTTCTTAACTTTAAGACAGAACCAGATTGAATCAAACAAGAAGAACAATCTATACTAATCTATACTAATAAAAGAGTAAAGTGATTGACTGACTGACTGACTGATTTAACGATTCATCAACGCCCAGACGAAACGGCTGAAGCTAGAATCTTGAAATTTTGGGTGAGGGTCACTCTTGGTCCAAATGTGGCAGATAAGGCTGGGTTTTTGGAAATTCGTACTAGAACGGTACGAAAAGTACTAAAACGTACTAAATGTGATGCCATTTGTATTTGGCGAACCGGTGGAGCTAGAACTCTGAAATTTGGTTTGGTGGTCGATGATGGAGTGTAGGATAGATGTACCAAAGGGTTTTTGGAAATTCGAACTATAACTATCCGAAAAGTACGTAAATGTACTAAATTTGGTACAATTCTGTAGCATGTGAACGGATAGAGCTAAAAACTTGGAATTTGAAATGCGAATTAGGGTTGGGAAGTAGGGTCGATATAAGGAGATGGTTTTGAAACCGTGTACTCATGTGTACGAAAAGTACTTTGGTAAACATTTAATTTAGAGGTACAAATCGAGCTAGAATCCTGAAAATTGATATTAACATTACCGTCGGAGTATAGGATTGGGATATGTACGTAGTTTTGGAAATTTGTTACTTATGTGTACGAAACGTACTAAATCGTACGATAATTGGTACAATTTGGATTTGGGTGAACCGATAGAGCGTGAACAATAAAATTTGGAGTCGGGATCACTGTAGGGGTATAGGATTGGGGTCAGGACTCAGTTTAAGACATTAATACTTATGGGTACTAAATGGTACTAAATTTGGTACAATTTGAATTGTAGGTGAACCAATTGAGCTAGAATCATGAAATTTGGAGCCAGGATTATTGTTGAGGTGTAAGATTGAGATATGTAGGGAGTTTTAAAAATTTGTACTAATGTGTACTAAATTTGCTACAATTTAAATTGTGGGTGAACCGATGGAATTGGAATCCTGAAACTTGGATTTAGGATCACTGTGGGGGTGTTGGTTTGAGTTAAGTAGGAAGTTTTGGAAATTCGTACTACTGTGTACTAAATTTGGTACAATTTGAATTGTGGGTGAACCGATAGAGTTGGAATCCTGAAATTTAGATTTTGGTGCTCTGTGTGGCTGTTGGTTTGGGTTAAGTTGGATGTTTTTGAAATTCGTACTAAATGGTACTAAATTTGGTACAATTTGAGTTTTAGGTGAACCAATTGAGCTAGAATCATGAAATTTGGAGTCTGGATCATTGTTGAGGTGTAAGATTGAGATATGTAGGGAGTTTTAAAAATTTGTACTAATGTGTACTAAATTTGGTACAATTTAAATTGTGGGTGAACCGACGGAATTGGAATCCTGAAACTTGGATTTAAGATCACTGTGGGGGTGTTGGTTTGAGTTAAGTAGGAAGTTTTGGAAATTCGTACCACTGTGTACTAAATTTGGTACAATTTGAATTGTGGGTGAACCGATAGAATTGGTATCTTGAAACTTGGATTTAGGATCATTGTGGGGGTGTAGGATTGGGGTATAGGAAGATTTAAAAATTCGTACAAATGTGTACAAATTTTGTACAATTTAAATTTAATTTTGAATTTGGAGTTAGGGTTACAGTTTCAAAATAGTACCAAATGTGGATTTGAGTAAACCGATAGAGCTAGAATCTTGAAATTTGAAGTTAGGATCACTGTCGGGGTGTAGGATTGGGCTATGTAGAAAGTTTTGGACATTCGTAATAATGTTTACTAAATGGTACCAAATGGTGGTTAGGATCACTGTTAGGGGGTTCGAATGAGGTATGTAGGATGTTTTGGAAATGTCTACTAAATGGCACTAGATTTGGCACAGTTTGGATAAAAAGCTAACCGATAGAGCTGAAATCTTGAAATTGAGTAATAAGATTTTCATTGGATTGCATGATGTAGGTAGTAATGGAAATTTGTACCTATGTGTATTAAATGGCACTAAATATGAAACAAATTGGATTTAGGTGAACCGATAGAATCCTGAAATTTGAAATTAAGATTGGAGTATGTGGGATGTGTTGGAAATTCGTATGTTAATGTAGGAAGTTATGGCAATTTATATATTTATGTTTACTAACTGGTACTTAATTTGAATTTGGGTGAAGATATATTTGAAATTTGGAAATTTAACAAGAGTACAAAGGGTAAAAAATGACACCAAATTTTGTATAGAGCTTGATTCCTTTTGCGGTCGGAATTTGTGTGTAGGGTTGAGTACTATAAGTGAACATTGGTACTAAATGGTTCTAAAAGTGTTAATATTGGTTGGTATTGGGTTTTAAATACTTCCCACATTCGCTGACGAAGTAGCGGGTATATGCTAGTATTCATATATAACTGCTACAACAACTAGATCGGATCAAATCTTCCTACCCAAAAATTTACCATTTCATGACCCGGTACGTCTTTACGTCTTTGAGGAGCCAAACGATTATATATGTACATTTAGAAAAAGTTCGGCCCGGGCGAACCAAATATAAATTACTTTCATCCACTTTTTACGTATATAATCAGTTTACGGGTTTCACTAAATAACCTAAACTTTCTTTATAAAAAAACCAGCCAATATCACAAAAAGACGACCCAATCTAATACATGTCCAACAAAGAAACTATTATTGATGTTAATACCCTATTTCTTTAAACTTCTTCTTCCTCTTCTTTTCCTATTTTTTTTCTTTTTTTTTTTTTTTTTTGGCTTCCCATTTCTAAGACAATTTGGGCTGATGTGATAATTGAGGAAACAATTGGACTTCCCTGGTTGCGTTGCAGCGAACGCGGACCATTCCAACGAAATATTACTTTCCATCATTGCAGTTGAATGTTTTCGGTGGTGGTGGTGTTGTTGTTTTTGTTGTAACAATTAGAGGGGGAGAAAGCATGTGAAACAATAATTTTGTATAATGGAAGTTTTTTGTTTTGGGAAAACCTTAACAAAAAATAAAATAAAAATAGAGAAACAGTAGCCAACACAAAACAAGAACAACAATGATGATGGTTGTAAGAAAATAGATATAAAAACAAAATATACAACAACAATGATGGTGATGATAACAACAACAAACATTAATAACTTACCTTATTCACCAGCATTGTGCTGGCCAAAAGCAGCTGCAACAACAGCCATCTTCGCTTGTTTTGGTTACTCGGTTTTTGGTTCTGCATTGTGTTGCAGGTTTGTGGCTTAAGTCTTTTGTTTTGCTCTTTGACTTGTTGATGTTTTTTGTCGGTTTTTCTTTTTTTAATGGGGTGGTTTGTTTGGGTTCTTTTTTGGGGTAATTTTTTATTGTTTTTTTTTTATTCTCAAATGCACTGACTTGTAACCACTTTAAGAAACAAAATTCTTGATTTATCTGCGCCGATGTGAATGGGTTGTTTGACGTTTAATTACTGCTGCTTTTTATTGAACACCGTTTATGGACTCCTCCTCCGTAGGAATAGAAAAAATGTTTTGGTTTTCTTTTCAACTACCTAGAGAGATAACAAAAACAAAACATGCATAAAATAATAGAAATAGAAAAATAGCTGGTGGGCTTAATCACTCAGGGTACACATGTACAAACATATGTATTTACTTATATGCGAGTGTTATTGACTGATAAATCTCATATACAAAAATTACAAATTCAATTCATGATTTATTTATTATTTCGTTTTGATTTATTTGCTTGGTTTTCATTGTTTTTAATAATAGAATGATTAGTAATTTTTTGTTAATTGTTTTGATGATTTTTTTTTTGAAAATGTTAACACGAGAAAAAAATTAAATTCCTATTTGCAAACAACAACATTTCCATTTCAATGCAGTTGTGGATTTTTTTATTTTTATTTTTTTGTTGTGTTGCTGCTCTGCTATTTTTTTTATTCATTTCTATATGCAATTTTGTTTGTGCGTTTTGTGTAATGAAATACCTTGTCATATTTGTGTGTATGTATATGTGTGTGTTCATGTTTTAGCGTCTATATATGCAATTTCCTTGTTTGTATTAAATTTCGAGGAAATTTTTAGATGTATTTTTGCTTTGTTTTTTATTTGTCTCGCCTATAGCTTAGCCTGCTAAACGCTTAGCAAATATTTTTTGTTGATAAGCAAAATATTGTTGGCAAACGTAGAAATATTTACTTGTTGTTTTTTTTATTTTTTTAATATTTGTTTGTATCTCAGGAGAATAACAATTAGAAAACATATGATGAATCATTGGAATTTCTTTGGAAAAAGGGAAGAGTTATTTTTATTTCGCATTTGGAGTTGAAAAACTGCATCACCGAAATTTGTCAATATAGGTACATGTTAAGACATATTTGAAGGTCAAAATCACGTTTTCTTTAATCGAAATGCCTGTAATTTATCATTCTGGGATCTTAGAGTTTAAAATATAATCTCGAAAAATTTCAATATAGATAAATGTTTGGGCATTGGTTCCCATTTTCGTTATGTTAAAGGTCATAGCCCAATTTTTCAATCGAAGTGTCTGAAAATTAGATTTTCGCATGTTCGGAGGATGCAAAACCTCCTGGCAGCAATTTACCATGTGGGTTTTAATGCCAATGTATTTTGAATGTTCACCAACAATTTTATACCCTCCACCATAGTGTGAAGTATATATTAAATTTGTCATTCCATTTGTAACACGTCGAAATAGTCACCGGAGACCCCACAAAGTATATTTATTCTTGATCAGAATAGCTCTTATTGAAAAATACGTATCTATACCAAAAATAATTATTAATATAGACTGAATTTTTAGGGTCGGTAACGGTACCTCCCAAACTTTGTTAGGTTGTAATTTGGTATTTTAAGTTCTCATTGAATAACAAATCGTCGTATTAAATATTATTAATATTGACTTAAGTTTCAGTGTAGCCCCCATATAACGGTACCTCCCAATATTCGGTATTTGGTATTTTTTGGCTACGTTTTATAACAGAATTGGCTGTAATGTGGTATTTTATATTCTCATTGGCTGTCAAATCTAACTACCAAAAAATATTTGATATTTTAAGAACTCCAATCATCTTTTTCTCACGTATTTTTCGGTATGTTCACATGTCCTTCTCATGAGTTCTCCCTAGAAACCCCATTAATTTTAGATATTTGAGGAGAGTGGAGTGTATAACAAGTTCGGCCGGACCGAACTTAACATCGCTTTTACTTGTTACTTTTTCTATTTTCTCTATTGTCTCTCAGCATTGAAAACATGCGAGTCCTCCGAGTGAAGTAATTAATTATCTATATGATTACAGGTTCTAAAACCTAATGCTGACTTGCGTAAATAATTTTTAAATTTAATTTTTGATTTTTTTATGAATCGGATGCTTTCTAAATAACTTTGTTATCAAAGTTAAGAAGTCCAGGTCTTGAATTTTATCGGTCTTAAACTACTCCTTTGATAATATCCCCAAAATGTAAATTCTTATTTCGAAAATTTCGAAATAACATTAAGGAAAGAAGTGCAGGCTTAAATTTTATTTGGCTGAAACTCCTGTAATTAGGGTTTTGATCATCTCTCGTAAATTTTATAGAGATTTACTGGTTACTTTTTTTGTGGAAAATTTTGAAATCGATATTTTCAGCATGGCTCGGTGTCTGGGTCTGAATTCGGGAAGTGTTATGCTCGTCTGACCGTTGATAGATATAGTTTTAAAATTTGGCACATTCATTTCTACTACTCCTAGGATGTTTGGTATAGAAAATCGGATATTAGATGTAATTTCGAATTTTGTGTTCTCATTGGGTAACAAATGTTCCCTCCAAAAAAAAATCTGTATTGGCCCACTTTTTAGGATACTACAAACACAGTACCAATACGGTGGAGCGCCCCATGGTTTGAGCATGTTTTTCAAACAAATTTAAATAAATTTTATATTTTGGTCTCTTATTTTCGAAGCAAATTTGGGGTCTGTGCCTGGAATCGATATATGCTATTGACTTCAGTGTATAATATAACCCTAATATAGACATACTCTGAAAACATTATACTTAAATCTGTCATTATTATATACTCAGACTTATGGCAAAATGTGCCTCATCGAAATATTGATTTTAGACCCCATATTTTTTTGAACCAAATACGTTTCAGACAACTTGGAGTCGATTTACAAATGTCCGTCTGTCTGACTGACTGAGGGAGTAACCTATTTCATCCAAATTTTGCACATCGTAATATTTCTTCCAAACACCAAGTTCGAAAATAGAATATCCATGAACTCCTTCCGGTACTTTTCCTGCAAAATGGCCAATATTTTCCTGAAAATGTATTTAATTATATCATCCGATTTGACCAAAAAATTGTCAACCAATTATTTTAAGCATTCCTGTATAATGTTTAAATATGCGACTTATCTGTCCACTCCTTCCTGTACCTCCCCACAAAGGGTATATATTTTGAAAACTTTTAAAACTCATATGAACGGAATACCCAATTTCATTCAAACTTTGCACGTCATAATATGTTTACAAAGTATAGATCGAGTCCGAAGATGGGACCCATCGGTCTACTCCCACAATGGGTCAAAATTTTGGAAATTTTTAAATCTCATATGAAGCGAATTGAATATCCAATTTCATCCAAACGTTGCACTTGGTAATATATTTACCTTTCATAGATCATGCTTGAATATGGGACCCATTCTTTCTGGTATCTTCCCCACAAAGAGTCTAAATTTTGAACGTTTCCTTACCCAATATCAAGATAATGGAATGCATGAATTGATCCAAACTTTGCAAATGGTAATGTCGATCCAAACATATATTAAACTCATCTGCATCTTTTCCAAAGATTGTTAACAGTTTAAAAATGTATACGTTGTATAAAGCGAATAATAAAACCTGGGCTTTATCCAGTATACTTCCGGCCGCAAACTATAAGCTGAGGGTATATATCTGTCAGCAACCCCGGCTGATTCTTTTTTACTTGTTGGCAAGGACGTTGGTTAGAAGGGTGCAACTGTGAAACCTCTCTACTTAAATATGTAACCTTAATATGATTGTCTAATAGAAATAAAAATCTATCATTGGTATATAAATTTCGAGAAAATATTGAATATGTACTTTAAATATTTTCTTTGTGGACTATGTTGTAGAGAAGTTACTTTGAACATTTTCAAATCTCTGCCGTTTGTCCCCTTGCTTGCTATACCCCCAATAATAATTTTCAAAAGATTCGTGTTCCTATGGCCCATTAACGCTACAGTTTCAGGGTTTTTATAGATCCGTATATATTATTACAGGGGATCGGAGTCTTAGCATGTAATCGGGTTGTAGTGCCTAATATTCAAATAATATCGCCGGTTTTACTCAGACTTACGACACAGGTGCAAACCTTGATTTCAAAATTTTAAAACCTATATTATACCCTATGACTGGAATATTTGTTTAAATAAAGAAAAAAAATTGCATAGCAACCCAAAGAAGTAAATTAACAAAGTGGCGCCCAACGTTAGTTAAGGTTTTGTAATAAAACCCAATAATCTTTAAAATTATGAAGAAATTCAAGAACATTTCTTTAGAAACAAGTTTATCCTAACTTTTCAAAATACAGATACATATTACAAATCTTATGATTATTGTATTGATTTTAGTGTAGACCAATATGAACTTCTGTATTTTTCCATGACATTTAGACCATTAGTCAGCATATTTTCTACTACTCAGGCTTTTCTGAAATTTTGGTCAATTATTTTAGTCTTTTCTACGCTTGTAACATTTGAAAGTGAAAACTATTTTGTTTTTTGGTTTGACTTTTACCACTTTGACCTGAACGAAATAATTACACAGACACAAGAAACCGGTTAATTTATTTATGTTTTAATGACTTTTTATGTGGTTTGTCGCAAAACCGCATGTTTCCCCATTCAACTGTGGCATACGTTGGCAATTAAAAATATTAACAACAAACAATTAACATATTTGTTCTGTTAAAAGAAGACAGAGGCTAAAATTCTTTATTTACATATTTGACCTCTACATATTTTTAGGGCTTAGTACTAAAGCTGTGGTCGTTGACAGCGATACATATATAATACATAAAACAACCTATGCTAAATTTTGTAAATCGATTCATATCTGAACCGATTTTCTTGAAATTTAGCACACATCATTCTAGACTTAATTCAATATGCTATACCTGATTTCGTGCAAATCTAAAGATATTTAGGGACTGTGG